ACGAGAGTTCGGAAGCTAAAGGATGCAGAGCGGCGCTATGCCTCCCATGAGAAAGAATTATTGGCTGTCGTCCACTGTTTGCGCCTTTGGAGGCACTATCTGCTGGGAACTCCGTTCGTGGTCAAGACAGACAACACAACTGTCAGCCATTTCATGACCCAGCCGAAGCTGAACGGTCGACAGGCCAGGTGGCAGGAACTCCTAGCTGAATTCCACTTCAACTTGGAGTATCGCAGTGGAAAGACCAATCATGTTGCTGATGTGCTCAGTCGGAGAGCTGATCTAGCATCAGTGTGCCTACTCGCCACCCTAAGGGGGAGCGAGGTAGCCACATCCATCAAGGACCAAATACGGGATCTACTCATCAAGGATCCTGCTGCTCAGTATTTGGTTGATTTGGTAGGACAGGGCAAGACTCGCCAGTTCTACATGGAAGATGGTTTTCTGAAAGTGAAAGGGAACCGACTTTATGTTCCTAAAGGAGGAGATTTGCGGAGGACTCTTCTAACGGAATGTCATGATACTCTGTGGGCCGGCCATCCTGGTGAAGAACGCACCATGGCGTTACTTCGTCGTGCCTATTATTGGCCTCAAATGGCCGATGATGTCGCTCAGTATGTGAAGACTTGTCTAGTATGCCAGAAGAACAAGTCGGACCGCTTGACACAAGCGGGACTCTTGGAACCACTTGCTGTCCCAAAGAGACCTTGGGAAAGCGTTTCCCTGGATTTCATCACCGGATTGCCCAAGGTCGGAGATCTCACAACCATCTTGGTTGTGGTGGACCGGTTTTCTAAGTATGCCACCTTTATTGCAGCCCCACAATATATATCAGCAGAAGATACAGCTCGACTCTTCTTCTCTCATGTCGTCAAATATTGGGGCCTGCCCAAAGACATTGTTAGTGACCGCGACTCACGCTTCACTAGCAACTTTTGGACCCAACTCTTCAAGTGCCTTGGGTCAAAATTGAGTCACAGCTCAAGTTTTCATCCGCAATCTGATGGCCAGACGGAGCGGTTCAATGGTATGTTGGAGGAATACCTCCGCCACTTTGTAACCGAATCGCAGAAGAATTGGGTGAAGCTTCTGGATGCTGCTCAACTGTGTTTCAATTCACAAAAGAGCTCTAGTACCAACAAAAGCGCTTTTGAAATTGTTACCGGACAGCAACCGCTACTCCCACACACTGTGAATGCACCAAACATGGCTAAATCTCCTCGAGCTACCAGCTTCTCAAAAGAGTGGAGGCGGAATTTGGAGATAGTGCGGAGCTATCTTGTCAAAGCCCAAAAGCGGATGAAGAGGCATGCTGATCAGAATCGTCGCTTTGTTGAATATCAAGTAGGAGACAAAGTGATGGTCAAAATTCCAAAGCGGTACTTATTTGCAGGGGTCCATGACCCTCGCCTATTGCAAAAATACATTGGACCCTTGTCCATTGAAAAGCGTATTGGGAAGGTTGCATACCGGGTGGATACCCCAGCTTGGTGGAAAATTCATCCTGTCTTCCATGTCAGTCTCCTGAAACCTTTTCGGGAAGACATGGAGGATCCTTCAAGGAGCCAGCTCACAATACCCAGTATTCGAGGTCCCAATTCAACCGGGAAAAGGCGTGTTGAAGCTATCCTTGATGACAGAGTGATTCATGCCTCAAGGAAAGATCACCAAGAATTTTTGGTGAAATGGCAGGACTGTGATGTAGAAGAGAATACTTGGGAGAGGGGAACAAACCTCAAAGCCTACAAGAGCCTCATTGAAGATTATTTTGCAAGGAAGGCGCCGAGGACGTCGCCAACTCAGGTGGGGGAGAATGTCATGGGCGGCTTTCCAGCCATGCCCCATGACCCCTTGGGCGCGTCCCGTGGCGTCCTAGCGAACCTCCCAATGCCTAGCGCCACGGACGGCCCCGTGGTCTTGGCCGCGCCAAGTGACAAGCGCGCAGGTGCCTCTGTCGCCCCACCGATATCCCTCGCGAGCGCCATGCCGCAGGCAGAAGCCAACAGCGCCGCGCGCGCAGACCGTGATACCAAAGACACTGCTGCTGACAACGGACCTGCTGCTGCCTTATAGAAAACTAAGTCATTTTCATTGTAAATATAGAGTAGTTTATTTCATGCACTTCCATTATGTTTCTCTAGCTTAATTAGGTCTACTCCTGTAACTTTGGATTATTTTTTTTAAGTACTATTAGGGGGATCAAGCAATCAAAACTTTCTAGCAAGCAAGCAATTCTCTGTACTGGTGTCTCTCCCCCTCGACACCGCGTTGCTTTTCTGTAATAGCTTTCATTAATGCAATCAAGCTTTCTTTCATTCTGAATTCTCATTTCTGTTCTCTCAATTGCTCTTGACATTGGTTTTCCCGTACGGCACTGACAATCTCGTCTAGCGTACGGAGGGGACCTCAGTTGGCGGACAGCAACTGAACTGACATCAGTTGCCTAGCCGTACGTCGCCCTTCCAAGAAATCTCAGGAAGGCGCCGCGTATCAAGTATTTTGAAGGAGAAAAAACAAATCTCTAGTATATTGTTCAACTACTACAAACAAGAAGAGTCTCGAGGAAAGTACCAAGAACACCACCTTAACATTGATTGGCCAGAGACCAGAGAATAACGGAATCCACTTGCAAATAATTTTTATGGGCAAACATTAAAAATTATATCACAGAAAGACCGATTAAATAATTCAGAATATGAGCTGAAAAATAGAAATAAAATCTATTCCACATATTACATTCTTTATATAGGGCAGCGGTGAAGTGAAGATCTCATCGCTATGAGCTGAAAAAACTATCCTCTGAAAAAATATATATATCCTCTCCATTTACAGATTTAGGTACCCAATTTTCTTAAAACAAAAAATAGATGGCAGATGCAGTGGTGAATTTTCTAGTAGAGAACCTGTTGCAGCTATTAAGTGATAATGTAAAGCTAATTGGAGGTGCAAAGGGAGAGTTAGAGAATCTGCTGAAAGAAGTTCAACACCTAAAAGGATTCTTAGACGATGCTGCAAAATTACCAAGCGACAGCGAGCAGTGGAAAGTGTTGGTGGAGGAGATACAAAAAACGGTACATACCGCAGAGGATGCTGTTGATAAGTTTGTGGTTCAGGCGAAGCTGCATAAAGAGAAAAATAAAATGGCAAGAATTTTGGATGTGGGTCATCTCGCTACAGTCAGGAATCTTGCAGCTGAGGTCAAAGGAATTCATGACCAAGTGAAGGAACTTCGCCTAAACAATCAAGCTCTTCAAGCACGCCCAACTCTTGAGCTGCCTAAAAAAGGTGCCCCTGAAACAACTCAGCAGGTATGCCTAATGATACCCAAAAGTTTTTTCATTTCTTTTTCCTTTAGTTGTCCTAATCATCTATTCGGTATTGATATTGCACTCTCTTTTCATTTGGCCACAGCAAATATAAATGAGAGTATAATTTCACTAATAGTTACCGCTCTATATTACTCTCTCATTTCATTAATACTTACTCCCTCCCGTCCATAATAAAAACCAATTTGCTTTTGGCACGAAAATATTAAATTCTATACAAAAATACCTAGTATGACTAAACTATCCTTAATTAAATATTTAATGTGAGGAGTAAGAAAACTTTTTAGGAATATGTACATAAGGGTAATTTTATAAAAATAAATTATATAAATTGATACTTTTTTTGGACCAAAATAAAAAAGCAAATTGGTCATTTATCGTGGACCGAAGGGAGTACTGCACTATATTCATGATTTTTCTATTTCTTTTAAGTCTTTAAATGGGGAAGTTTCAAAAAGGTTAAACCTAACAAATCAGATTGTGCATTAAAATAGATCATATACAGGCATACTAACAAATCAATGCTGCTAGTATTTGAAATTTATCACATGCATAAAGATATAGCAGTAGCATTGACCAGTACGATATCCAATAAGAGAAAATGAATTGAGATAGCCCTGACTCTGATATTATAGTAAATAGACTTTAGGCCTGACCCAGCACCAAGATCTAGCTCATGAGGTGAGCATTGCCCGAGACTATATAAAGAGACCTTCCCTTCCCTTAAAACTCAATTGTTGGGTTTTAATTATAAGAATAACCTAATTGTTTGGTCAGGTTTGGATTTTTCTATATAATTCAAAATCTACCCTCATTTTTTTTTTTGGTCGAAAAGATATATTTATATTATAGATAGTCAAACGAGTACAGCATAACTGTTAAGTAGATGCATGAGAGGCATCATTTGTACAAAACTAGAGTTTGTTACCGGGTCCCCCGCATGGGAACCATTACTAGTACTAAGGTTAGAGGTTGCTAAAACACGACTAGTAGTAGTTGGTACACTCATAGATAAAGAGCTACTATTACACACAATATTTGTACCAGAGAGAGATTGTGTTGGATTCCTAAAGTCTACCCTCATTGTTCGGTACGACTATAGATCATATTGAAATTTAAGATTTTAATTATTAGAATAGCCTAAAAATCAGTTCGGTTCGGTTCGGTTCGATTTGGCCGATTTAGTCGGTTTTCAAATAACTATTGACACCCCTAGTCTCATCTATTCAGATTGTTGACCGATGCACCACAAACAAACAAGTGCTTGTGTGATATTTAGTAGTGATGGTGTAAAAAGATCAGCAAAATTATGACAATAAAAGGTAAACTCGATGTAACAAGTATTGATTGATGACACATAATAATTAAATTGTACTCTAAATAATATGTTATAATAGATCAAATTATATGATAGTACAAAGAACTTCTATACCATATATAAGCGCGTATATGCCTTAAATACCACGAGATTGAAATTGTAATACATACCCTTTACTTGTGAAGATCATATATCTACTCTATTTTCTGATGCGATCCCTTTTATTATCTTGAAAAAGGGTCCTGCGTTGGAGGATGATGAAGTTGTCGGCTTTGATGAGGAAGCGAACAAGGTGATCAAGCGACTTGTTAAAGAATCAAAGGATCTAGATATTATTCCAGTGGTGGGTATGCCGGGACTTGGAAAAACCACACTAGCAAGAAAAATCTACAATGATCCTCAGCTTTCATATGAATTTTTCGGCGTCCATTGGGTTTACGTCGGCCAATCTTACAAAATAAAGGATGTTTTTCTTAATATTCTCAAATTCTTCACAAGACGCACCGAAGATTATCAGCATGAGGATGAGAACGCATTAGCTAAGGTGATAGCCGGTTTTATCAAGAAAGGAGGTAGATGTCTCATTTGTTTGGATGATGTTTGGGAAACAAAAGTCATTGATTATGTAAAGACAATTTTCCCAGAAAACGAAAAGGGGCATCGAGTCATGATGACGACGCGTGACAAAGTTTTGGCTACTTACGCCAATCCAGAGCCTCACGATCTGAAATTTTTGTTTCCAAAAGAAAGTTTTGAATTGTTGGTAAAGAGAGTTTTTGGCAAGAAAAGTTGTCCTAAAGATTTAGAAGAACATGGAAAAAGCATTGCAGGAAAATGTGGTGGAGTACCACTTGCAGTAGTGGTTATTGCAGGAGCATTAAGAGGTCGTCCGAACACAAGTGATTGGCTAAGAGTTGAGAAAAATGTGCCTCAGCATCTTTATGGGAATAACGAAGAGAGCTGCTTGAAATTTGTGGAGATGAGTTACGATCATTTGCCCCAAGAAGTACAGACATGCTTCTTGTATTGTGGTGTCTTTCCTCGAGGATTTGATATCCCTTCTTGGAAAGTGATTCGCTTGTGGATAGCGGAGGGGTTGATAAAGCCGCAGGAATCGTACACTCTGGAGGAGATAGCAGAGTTTTATTTGAACGATCTTGTCAACAGAAATTTAGTGATACTGCAGCAAAAGAGGTCTGATGGTCAAATAAAAACATGTCGTCTTCACGACATGTTGCATCAGTTCTGCAAAAAGGAGGCTAGTAACAAATGGCTTTTTCAAGAAGTCAGTCTAACACCTGATCAAGCTATTCCTATTGAAGACCCAAATAAATCTCGTCGATTGTGCATTCAACCCTCTAATCTGAAAGAGTTTCTCTCCAAAAAACCTTCTGCAGAACATGTTAGATCTTTCTATTGTTTTTCCTCAAAAGAAAAACAAATCAGCGGGTTGACTCCTAATGACATTAAACTTATCCACAAAGCATTTCCGCTTGTTAGGGTTTTGGACGTTGAATCCCTCAAGTTTCTCTTCTCTAAAGATTTTAATCAGTTATTTCATTTGAGATATATTGCTATCTCAGGTGACTTCAATGCCATTCCTTTGACCTTTGGTAAATTTTGGAATTTACAAACTCTTATTCTTAATACAAGTACCTCAGAGTCCACCCTTGATGTAAAAGCAGACATATGGAACATGTTACAGTTGAGGCATCTTCACACCAACATACCTGCAAAATTGCAACCCCCTACTGCGACGACATCAAGTAAAGCTTCTTGTCTACAAACTCTTTGTATGGTTGCACCAGAAAGTTGCGAGAAAGAAGTGCTCGCAAAGGCTTGTCATCTGAAAAAGTTGAGCATTCGAGGACAAATGGCGGCTTTTCTTGGTGCTTACAAGGGTGGAATAAACAATCTTGTAGAGCTTAAGTGCTTGGAACAGTTGAAGTTGTTGAATGATGTTCTTTACATGAATAAAGCACCTCAACTCCCTCCAACATTCTCCCAACTTGTACGTACAGTGAAGAAGTTAACTTTGACAAACACAAGGTTTGCTTGGAGTGAGGCAGATAAATTGGGGCAATTGGAATCCCTTGAGATCCTAAAGTTTAAAGAAAACGCGTTCGCAGGTGATTCCTGGAAGCCAAAGATGGGATTTAGTGCACTACGGATTTTGTGGATTGAAAGGGCAGAATTTGAAACTTGGGAGGCTTCGGAGCATAACTTCCCCGTGCTTAGGAACCTTGTTCTTATGTCTTGTGATAAGCTCGATGCTGTTCCAATTGAGCTGGCTAATATATCTAACCTTCGGGAAATGCGGTTGGAAAACACAAGCAAAGCGGTCAAATCTGCAAAAGATATACTGGAAAGCAAGATAGCTAAAAGCATCAAATTCAGCCTTACCATATTCCCTCCTGAAGCTGGATCCAAGGCCGCACAGTGAACTGAAAGGTATATTAATCTGGATTACTGTGAATGATTTTATTAATTGTTTCTTTAAAACCTCTCTGCAACAGTTTTCTTTTCTTTGTTTCCCTTTTTGTCATTTACTAATTTTACTCCTTTATACAGGAAAGAATCAGGACATTGAGCTTGTTGGAAATCTGGGGTCATGGATATGGTTCCACTCATGTTTTCTGCAGTCCAGTCCTTCTGATAAGATTGTTCCAATAAAGAAAGCCTGTTTGTCTTTTGTTTATACAAGCATTGTCATTTTGAAACAAGTCTCCGCGTGGTTTCGGAGATATGTTTAAATAAGTGCACTCCACTCTCGGCTTGAAACAAACACCCTTCCTGGGATTGTTGCATTTCGAGTTCCTCATCATGCGGAGTTCTTTTTTTTCTCAGTTGTAAAAGTACTGTTTGCATCTTTCCTATTCTGCTTTGGTTGTATTTGCTTTGTTTCATTCTTGTAAGACTGTTGCTTTGATCTATCATTGTTCTGTTGAAAGACAATGTTATTCCAAACAAATAAAGTGTTGAGTGTCTTATTTCCTACTCAGTATCTTTCAGATGAATTCAAATTATTCCGAATTGGAACTTGGAAGGTTTCAAGTTCAAGTTTCGAATCCATAGGTTGCCAAAATGAGTTTAACTATGTACTGAAAGTGTAATAGCTTTTTTATATTATTAGATTACCTAAAAGATAATTACATGTAGTTGTTCACAAAAAGTGAGATTAGTCACTTAGAAAATATGACATGTTACATTACAAAAATTCTTTACCTTATCGGTGTATATAAATTACATCCACCTTATCCGAGGCCGTTGAAATGCATGACCAAATAGATTACTACCATTAACATTTACCCTCATTTCACCTCGAAAGTGATAAAAAATGATCCGATAGTTGGCTTTTAACATTTTCATCACTCTTTGCTAAGGAAATCTATTTGTGCTTTGGAAAGAAACCACCAAATCATTCACAATATATACTCTTATCTATATAGTACCATATACAAGTAATTAAGATAAGAAAGGCATGGAAATTTTATTCATCACTGTATCTGAAGAATGGAACAACCATGAAAGATACAATCGTGCAGGAAATTTGAATAAATTAATGAAAGATTTATTATGTAATAAGACAGAGTCAGTCTTGTTGGAATCTCTACGGAATGGTACCACCTAGAAATGAATGTAATGGTGTAGTGGACAATTAAATCATTTCAAGACATAATAATTGTGACTGACCGTTACGTTCAACTTCATAATATGTCCGTAGAATCAGTAGTTTCAGGAGGGAATACAGTGAGCTTGAAGTTGATGTTTGGAGCTTGTATCTTGCGTTTGATTTCTTTTGCAGATTTGACTGCTCTCCTTGTGTTTTTCCAGCCTCATCTCTGGAAGGTTAGGTACATAAGCTAATTCAACATTCAGCTTATCGATCACAGGATATAAGAATAAGGTGCCTAACTACTAGGAAGTTAAGATTTGAAGCCTCCCAAAATTATAATTCTGCCCTCTCAATACACAAGACCTAGAGTTGGCTAAAATCTCCTACCTCCGGCTTCCAAGACTCGCCAGTGAACGCATTCTCTTTCAACTTTACTACCTAAAGGCGCTCCCACTGCCCCAATCTCCAACTGGAGGGAGGTGAAGCGTTTGTAACGACCCGGCCAGTCGTTTCGAGAGTTATGACCCCGTTCCCCCATTTCCTGTTTCTTTTGTGTTCTTCAGCTGTATTATGATTTACCGGGTTAGTTGGTTCGGGTCCGGAGTGGTTTTGGAGTGAATTGAGACACTTAGTCTTTCATGAGAAGGTTCAAGTTGGAAGAGTTGACTGGATGTTGACTTAGGTGTAAATGACCTTGGATTTGAATTTTGATGGTTCCGTTAGATCCTTTAGCTGATTTTAGACTTAGGAGCGCGTCCGGAATGTGATTTAGAGGTCCGTAGTGGAACTAGGCTTATATTGGCAAAAATTGGAATTTTGGCAAATTTGGTCGGTAGTGGAAATTTTGATATCGGGATCGGAATGGAACTTCGAAAGTTGGAATAGGTTCGTGGTGTCATTTTTTACTTGTGTGCAAAATTTGAGGTCATTCGGACATGATTTAGCGGGTTTCGACATCGTTTGTGAAATTCGGAAGTTTAGAAGTTTTTAGACTTGAATCCGAGTGTAATTTGATATTTTGATGTTGTTTTGGGTAATTCGAAGGTTCGACTAACTTTGTATGATGTTATGGGATATGTTGATATGTTCGGTTAAGGTCCCGAGGCCTCGGGTTGATTTTGGGTGATTAATGGAACAAGTTTGGAAGTTGGAGGAGTTGCTGAAGTTGGAACTCAGCTGTCATAACCGCACCTGCGAAGTGGGAGTTGCAGGTGCGAGCCAGCAGAAGCGGAGAGCGAGCCGCAGAAGCGTCCAAGGCTGAGTTGGGCAGACAGCGCAGGTGCGAAGGCATTCCCGCACCTGCGGAGGTCGCAGAAGCTGACCCAAGGGCGCAGGTGCGAGGTGTGACCGCAGAAGCGTGATGAATTCTGCACCTACGTAAGCGCAGATGCGGTCTTGAGGCCGCAGGAGCGAGGTCAGGATTTTAAGTGGGTTCCGCACCTGGGATGGATTTTCCGCAGGTGCGGCGTCGTAGAAGCGACATATGGACCGTAGGTGCGGTATTTGTTGGGCAGAATATATAAATAGAAGACTTCGCGAATTCTTGCTCATTTCCACCATTTTCAAGTCGGACTTTGGAGCTTTTGGGGAGACTTTTGAAGGGGATTCAAGGGTTTTCTCTAAGGTAAGTTGCTTGAGCTTTATTATCATTAGCTATGGTATTTTTCCGCTGATTTTCCACCTAACTAGTAGGATTTTGAAGTGAAATAAGGGGTTCGAGCTTGGGATTTTGGAGAGAGTAATTTGGGGACTTGAGGGATCAAATGATGTCGAATTTTGATGAAAGGGGTTCGAGCTTGGGATTTTGTGTAAGGTTGTATCTTTTGTAATTTTATTTGCATTCTTCTAATTCGTGAAAGAGAAGGGAGCCTTAGCGCAACTGGTAAAGTTGCTGCCATGTGACCAGGTGGTCACGGGTTCGAGCTGTGGAAACAGCCTCTTGCAGAAATGCAGGGTAAGGCTGTGTACAATAGACCCTTGTGATCCGGCCCTTCCCTCAGACCCCGTGCATAGCGGGAACTTAGTCCACCGGGCTGCCCTCTAATTCGTGAAAGACTAATTCTTTCCCCTTACATTCTGAATGCAGTCTGCTTTTACTTATACAAACAGATCGACCATGATTCCGAACAGAAAATACCATTCTTTTTATTCTACTGTAAATGGACTTCTATGGTACAATAGTAGATGGATTACTGTAAATGATTTAGTGGTTTCTTTCGAACTCATTAGCACCAGTTTTCCTCTGTCTTTTCATTTACTAATTTTCCTCCTTTCTGCAGGGAAGAATCAGGACATTGACCTTGCTGGGAGCCCGGGGTCATGGATATGGTATCACCCCATTTCATGTTTTCTGCAGTCAGGTCATCTGATGATATTTTTCCAATAAAGGAAGACTGTCTTTTGTTTATTCGAGTATTCGAAATGAGTCTGTCTCTGTGGTTTTGGAGAAATGTTTAAATAAATGCGCTCCACTGTCGGCTTGAACAAACATCCTTACTGTGTCTGTTGCATTTCGAGGCCCTAATCATGGTGGTGTGTTTTCTTTCTGAGTTGTAAAAGTACTGTTTGCCTGTTTCCAGTTTGTTGTGTCTGTATTGTTTTACTTCATTGGTTGTTTCTTGCTAAATAAGCATGTCCCACTGTTATTGTTGAAAGACATCTTATTCCAACTAGATTAGCTGATTATGAATGTCATTCAGTATGTCTAATCTTTGAGATGATTCTGGTTATGTTTTAAATTGGATGGTGGTACAAGTTTATATTATGAGCCTTTATGTTTCCTAAATGTTGGCCTAAAACGGTTGAAGATCCTTAGACTACTGAGTTTTAACAGTCACCAATGCAAGATTGCCTTGTCCTAAACCAGATAGGTAACTTAACTTTGATAGGATGATTGCACTGATCCACATCCTGTTTCCTGATTATTTTGATTTGCAAATCTGTTTCTTTCAGAAATTAGTAAAATGAAGAATAAAGGGCAAAAATGTCCGATACATCCTTAGTGTTCTATCTAAGGAGTTTTTACACCACTAGTAGAACACTAATATTCAAATTGCTGGTTTGAAATGTAAGTCGAACAACACGTCTATGCCTGGACTACTATCATACAACACAATGGACATGACAATGCTAATCTGCTAACATAATCCAAGCACGTTTCAAACTCGAAAGAATAGTTTCTTACACTGAAAGAGAAGTACCATGCACTTGAAGATGAGGGGAGTACATAGGTCGGGTTGGTTCGAGTTTTTCAATTACCAAATCAAATCAATTGTGCCGGGTTTTTAAATCTATATATCAAACCAAACCAACAAAAGTTGGGTTTTAGCACCTACTATAGCACTCGATTTTAGTGTTATCCCTAGTGCCCCGCACTCAACATAGCACCCAAAATCGGTGCCACCTTCAGCGCACTCAAAATATTTTTGAGGCCAACTTTTCCTTGTTTTGGTTGGACTTGGTTAGATTCAGCCACGACTTTTCCTACACATACAAATAGTTCTTAAACGCAGTTTTTAAGGAAAGTTCGACCCTTGGGAAGGAGAAATGTTGCCGGAGCAATTTGGGTGCCAAAAATCATTGAGTTTTTCTTCCTTTCTCTTATTACTTGTAGTTTTATACTTTTATATATTAATATGTTCATTAGCATAACTATGAGTGGCTAGTTCTTTGTTTTTTGCGCTTGTGGTTGACGTGAATATTAAAGTTTGCTAATTGCATCCTTGTTAATACGAATTATCATTTTTGGGTTGTTTTGTTATAGCTGCCAATTCATCCAACTATCTATTTTATGCTTGGGAAGGCCGTGTTTAGATTAGAGTAGAATTAGAGGGCTTGTTTCTGAACCCGTGGTACTTGACAAGATTTGGCGGTTAGGATGGGAAGATACTTAGCAGTCTCGCTCAGTTGAATGTCGTAATTAATTCGATCACGATGATTCAAGAATATAGTATTAATATATTGTAAATAGGTGGATAGTACTGTTGGAACATGCTATTACATAAACGATCCGGTCAACTAGCAACCATAGATCATTCGAATTCAATAGGATTAATAAACCGACCCCTACCTTTGAATCTTCATCTCCATTGATTAATACCCAATCACCATCACTTGCATTCTTGATAGTCTAGTTAACTAGTAGTTTAATTTTTGCAATAGTAGTTTAGTAGAAAAACCATCACTTTTGATTACCTTGGACAAATATTCGATTTTATTTAGTTGCTTAGTTAATAGTTAATCTAAGTCTTAGTAGAAAAACCATCACTTTTGATTACCTTGGACAAATATTCGATTTTATTTAGTTGCTTAGTTAATAGTTAATCTAAGTCTATGTGGGTTCGCCATCCAACTTTTGAGTTACTTTATTACTTGACGATCACGTATACTTGTGTGTGCTTGGGAAACCAACATGGCCAAAGGCTTGAAACTTATCTTTACAATCAAACTTGTTGCTTTCTACTATGAAAATTCGTCTTATAAACTTTCGATCATCCGCCTCTTGCTAAAATAGCACATCCAAGTTAAATATCTTTACGTGGAAGAGAAAAATAAGTGACATAACATTACGTGGAAGAAAATATCTTTTCTTTTGCATGGAACCATAAATAGAACATATGAATATGAAAATTATGTAGGTATTAAATACATGGATTGTCATCAAAATATATTTTCTTCTATCTAGTATTCCTCTTCGGTATCCAAACAAAGGCAGTAAGCAACTAAGCCAACAACTGGAACATAACTGAGATATCTCACTAAGCCAACCTTATTTTCCTGGATGTTTTGCAAGTTGTCTCCTATCAACCAAGGTTGGAATATACTGTAGAGACAAATATCCCATATGAAGGCATAAGCAAGTCTTTCAGACGATAGATAGCTGAGCAAGAACTCCCATCTATCAGATATACTCCCAAAATCACCATCTCCTCTCCCCAAAATGGCCCAAAATGTCGATAGCAGACAAGCGGCTCCACCAACCAGCCCAACAATAGATGCACCACGAGTCATAATCGAACCAAGTTGAGAGTTTGTCCTCGGAGGGTACTCTGAGTTGACCTTATTTAGCCGAATAGCCATGTATGGAATTAAAAATGCTGCATCGAATTCCAAAAAGCTCATTAATGAGTGTCTTGTCACAAAAGAAAAGAGTTACATTTGAAGGGAGCAGAAAATCAAAGACAGCAAAGAGAAAATATTCACTAACATTGGACAAGAAAATCTCTGTCAGAACATCTAGCTCTTGAATGAGCAAGAGAAATTATAGAAAAGTAAATGCAAATAGTTACTCCCTCTGTCCCATTTTATGTGAACACTTTCTTTTTTTAATGTCACCTTTTTATATCCAAAAACAATTTAACTTACAAACTGTTGATTTTACCCTTATTGAGACGATTTTAGATTACAAGTTTCAAAAGTCTTTATTTCTTAAACTCCATACTTATACCGCCACATAAAATGGACAGAAGGAGTAATAGCCAAGCCATCTTAATCGCCTAAACTCCTAGTCAATGATAGAGGTTTCAATTTAGTTCCTGAACAATTTTGGTCGAAGCAATTCCAGTATATTCAGGAAATCACATTATATACCATTTATCATCCTAGTATTCCTCAGGTAGACACTTATTGAGAGTTCCATGGGGATGGAGGACTTTATTTTTGGCCACAACCAAAAGTAAGTGTTTGAAAGGTGCATAACTGTTTGTGAGGAACATTTGGAGGCCCCATAAAAGATCTAATGATCCCTTGTATCTGTCTCTCTTGCGATCACTGAATAGTAAAGGAGCGAACATGAAAGTCCAGCCAATTACAAAATTAAACAGTCCTTCAGACATCTGGAATGAAATCAGAGAAGAAAGTTAAAAACGAGATCCATGCCAATTAAATCAATTTGTATTTTACAAAGTAGTTACCGGATGAAGCACCGGTGCCTCCAGTAAGTGGACACCCCCTACACTGCCAAAGGGTGCATTGCGTGAAGTTCAATGTCAAATATATGGTAAATGACAGATTGAAAACCGACATGGAAAGTCATATAAGTACAATATTCATATCAGTAACTGCTTAATCTGTAAATTTATATGCATCTAAAAGAAGCAGGACTAAGTTGAGACATAGCGGTATAAAACGAAAATTCAACATATGAAGTGCACCGAAACGGTTCTGCTTAAGTGCTATAAAAACAGAATACATTCTTAAAAGTCATATATAAAAGTGTTTGGTATGCTAGTATGTATACATTGTGAATGACACAAGCATACATATCAAAAGGATGTCAAAGTTGAAATAGAACTCCCAATTAACCAACCTTTAAAGAGTTAATAATAAATCTGGTAAAGGCCAAGACACAGTGATTATTCAAGAATCAATATTTCTAGTTAGGGCATGCTTCAACATTGAGAAATGTAGGTGATAAAGCAAGTTTATCAATGAATAACCAAGGGAAAGTGGACCATATAAATAAAAGCCGATATACTATGTTTTTGTTTGTGATGAGTGTCAATTATGGCACCTATTGTCAGCTAAAAATATGTGACAAAATTAGCATCTCTAGACAAGAAAGGAATGCAGGTTTACTACTGAAATATGTGCATTAAACTAATTCTGTACAGTTAATAAGACTTCAACATACCAGCATTCAGAAGAGGAAGAATGAAGAAGAAATTGAGGGAGAGACCAATCAGATCATTGACTGTTTCTGAACTGATTGCCCACACTGGATCTCCCTGCATTACATATCAACATATTTTCAAGTAATATAGAAGTAGAAAATTCAGAATTGTTTGTTATGGAGGTATATCACCAAAGAGAAGTCCATGCCGTTGGGAACAAAAGGAATGTTAAGCCATATATACTACTATTGTTCCTATCATATGCAAAAGGTGAGGAACTAAATTGAGAAGTCTAATGTGCATCACAACATCATTTATAAAGGTGATACACAACCATGGACAGGTAAATGCTACTTCTGTAGGGAGCTATCGGAACTATCACAATGAGCTACAACGAAATCTTAATGTTTTGAGGCAATATTCAAACTTCTAAACGTATCGTTCTTTTACTCCTTTAGCAACCCCCCCCCCCCCCCCCCTTTTCCAACAAAGAAATCTGAATCTAGACACAGTTCTGAAGTTTGAGTATTAACAGAAAAGGAAATAGATTCAACTAGCATGAAATGCAGGCGCAATACACAAATGACTGTCTCCAGGCTATGGTGTGAAATATTTTCAGAATATTCAAGAATTTGCGCGTAAGTGAAATGTATCTCTAGTTTCCTTTCAATACTTTCTGGAAAAGGTAAAGTTAACTTCCAAGTTCCAAGTATCTAAGAGATATAAGCCCTGGGAGACACAAACTTAAAAACTAGTGAAGAGTAGCCTCGCAACCAATATTCAGATATACCACTTAGTGAAACTATATTTTCAATTGCCTTAAAAGACAAATTAAGTAGTATTGGAATGAAATAAGCCCCAAAAGAGTGGAATGGATGTAAAGGATTGATATAGCTGACCCAATTAGTTTGGGATTGAGGCTTAGTTGATTAATATGTTCAAACTCGAGATTGGAGTTGTCCGCCCCATTTAGAAGTTAGGTTCCAATCCCAAGAAAAGCCCTTTGTTCTCTGACCTTCACTATACCCAAGAGAAGAAGAAAGAAATTTGTTTTCGTCTTCAAGCATGTGACCTAGCAGTTGATGAAGTTGGGAATAAGAACCATACCATACCATGGTACAAATCCCATTAGATTTAACAAAAGGCTAAGTGATTTCTTCCTTAGACAGAACCGGCAAAATACGCGAGACACGAAGGTGGCCCAAACCCCGTTACCTTAAAAAGAAATTATGTTCAAAAGAATCAAAACCGTAAATTTTCAGCCCGTTTAGATAACAACAGAACCAACACAAGATAATGTATGGTAATGAGAAACTAAGACAAAAAGATGCTGGCTTTATATACTCCAATGCAAAAAAAATACCATAGCATAGGCCATATTAGCTTCGGAGTGGTTAAAACATCTATAATAGAATGATCGTTAGCACACGAACAGATGCTAAAAACAGCTAATGGACGATGCTTATTTGAGTACTCATATGAAGATTCCAGACTTCCAGTATTACCACTCGGCTATAAGTCTTCGTCAAACTATCTAAATTTCAGTGTTTGATTTCTGATTTTTCAAATAGTTACAATCTCATATATCTAAAACTACAATAATTTTTTTGCAAAACGCAGTGATTCAAGAAGAAAGAAAAGGATTTAACTCTCCATAATAGGTGACACGAAATAAGACAGAGGAAGTAGTACATTACAGGTGCATAGGGAAGCAAGAAGAGCCACAACACGTACACTCCTTCCGCAGTCCACAATATACTCTGTGTTAATTTCCTTATTTTCTCATCCCTTTCTAAAATTGAATCCATTCCTCCACCGCCACCGCCACCGCCACCGCCACCAGCTCCGGTGGTAAAAAGGGTTTCCCGGCGAGCTTTATTGCAAAGACAAAGCCTTCCGAGTTGAAGCCTTTTCACTTTGGGCTTCAACCCGAAGTGTGCACTAGTCTTGGACATTTTCGAATTGTGGCCAGATACCAAGTCAGTTCGTCTGCCATGGCTGAATAATTGATGGCCAAATGCCAAGTCAGCTTTGGTGCACAACACAGTTGCCGGCAACATTGCCGGAGAATGTCTTAGTTGAAAGTTCTCTTCTTATCCAAACAACTAAACGAACCCTTAAAAGGACGTGGTTTACGACCCAACGTCGTTTTTTTAATTTTTCTTTTTTTCTTTTTCTAAAAGAATACGACGCTTTTTTATTTTAATTAACTTTTGCGTTGTTTTTTAGAATTTTCTTGGAAGTAATTTCGGGAAAATTAAATTTTAATTTCAGCGACCTGCTATAGTTTGAAAGAAAAATAGTGTTCCCTGCCTCTTCGTGGACAAGTCATTTTAAGTAATGTTTGATTCGTTGGAGTAACTATGAGTTATACGGTATATAATATAAAAGTTTATAATTTAATCCTTATTTTTAAGTAAATATAAAATTGCCGAAAATGTTCTAGTATAAAATATACTGCTATTACTCATAACATAAAAAATGTTAACCAAACACAATATAAATACCATCAAAATTTATACTACAATACTATCTTCTAAATCATGTAACCACAACATTTGAATGTGTACAAAAAATCTACACTGAAATCATTAAATATTGAATCGATGAAATTTAACTTTTTAATATGTCATTGAATTGCAGGAAACAGATATTCAGATTTAAATAAATCAATAAACTAATGTAGACTAGTGCAATCACCCTATCAAAGTTCCACATGCTAAATAAGATTCGTAGCAGCTTGTTTGCAGGCTCGGAATTACATGTCTTTCAAGTTTCAGTGTAATAATGGTACATTCTTAACCAAAGAAACAACAATAAAAGTAAAGTAATACAGCAATAACAAACTGGAAAAAAAATAGTACTAACAGCTTCACCAACGCCGGAGCTAGAGTGTCGTCAGCGGATTCGGCCGAACCCAATAGTTTTAGTTCGAACCCTGTATTTGTCTTATAAAATTCATTGAATATGTATAAATTATTAATTTATAACTCAATAACTTAAAACAATTAGAATTCTGAACCCATAAACTTGAAATCCTGGCTCCGCCTCTAGCTTCACAACTTCGAAAGAAAGCACTCCACGTGACGGGAACTCAAAATACAACAGATCCAGGAACATCTGCAAAACCATGCGGACAAAGACAGACCCACGAGTTGAAGGCACCGGGGATTGCACTACTCTCTTAACATAAGTTTGGCGGGCAGCTCTCTTAAACTTGATGTTTATGCTTTGAGAGAAGTAAATTTGGCACTTTTTGAATAGTAGTTTAAAAAATAAAAATAAAGTAGCGGATGAGGGGCGGAAACTATAAAAAGAAGGAAATCTGGTGTAATGACTTTTGAGAGGTTTAATCAAAGGAAAAAAGGTGATTGGGGTGGAAACAATAACAACTACAACCCAGTGGAATCTCACAAGTGGGGTCTGTGAAGGATAGTGTGTACGCAAACCTTACCCCTAGTAGGGAGGTTGTTTCCAATAGACCCTCGACTAAAGAAGATGAAAAGAGACAGTGATGCAGTAACATCAGAGTAAGCAAGAAAGAAAGAGAGATAACATCAACAACGTAGTAACCAGAAAGTAAAGAGAAAGTAACAACAATAAGCAGTAACAATGGTACAATACAACAGACATAATACAGTAATATGGATACAACAAGAGCCACTAGCACCCTAAGAAACTACACTATCGGAGTAGTCTCCTACGACCTAACCTGCAGTCCTAAAGAAGTAATAAGGACACAATCGAAGCCATTATCAGCCTAAGACAAACACACGCCAGCCTCCTACTTCCTAACCTAGAACTTTAATACTTGTCGTCCACAACTTCCTATCAAGGGTCATGTTATCGGAAATCTGAAGTCACACCAGGTCCTGCCTGATACCTCTCCCCAATATTTCTTTGGCCGCCCTCTACCTTTTCTCACACCCATCAAGGCCAGCCGTTCACACCTCCTAACTGAGGCATCCATGCTTCTCCTCCGCACATGCCCGAATCATCTAAGCCTGTCTTCGATGGGAGCCACGCCCACCTTCCCCCAGATATCTTTTATTCCTAATTTTATCCAGCCTAGTGTGTCCGTACATCCATCTCAACATCCTTATTTCTGCAACTTTCAACTTTTAAATATGAGAATTCTTGACTGGCCAACACTCAGCCTCATACATCATGGCCGGTCTAACCACCGCTCTATAGAACTTATGTTTAAGGTGCCCTATTAAGTATATATCCCTTTCTCAAGGTATATAGCCTATATATACATACAAATATAGAATTTTTTTTCTGCTGACTAATACAATATAGCAGAAAACAGAGGAAGGTAGTCAATCTAGGAGCTTAAGCTCGAAGAAGGTGATGGCTATGTCAAGCAATTGCGAGAATATAGCTCAAGAGAGAAGAGATTAGAGAGAGTAGATTGTATTAACCTCCAAAAGTATATATCCAGTACAATTGATTTAGCTATATAAGCTCAGCTGAAGATTCTAGAAGTACAACTTGTAAGCTAACCTCTAACTAACTACAACTGTCGTAACTAACTTGTAACTAACTATGCCACATCAGCTAACTAACTATGCCACATCAGCTGCCAGCTCGGATTCTGTTACAACTTCAACTACTCAGCTTCTTTTTCTACTGCTCGACTCTTTTAACTTGTATCAATACCCTCCCTTAAAGAGAATCCTTGACCTCAAGGATTAAAAGAAGGGAACCTTGTCTAAAGCTCCTGCAGATACTCCCAAGTAGCAGAGTCAGCCTCAAGTCCTGTCCACTTGACTCTAACTTGACATACAGCCTTATTACCACGTTTGACTAGCCTCCTTTCTAGTATGGATTCTGGTTGAGGACAATAAGGGCTAGACAAGTGAAGTATAGGGGGATGATTGATGATAGCAGGTACTTCATTATACCTTTTTAACTGAGAGACATGGAAAGTGGGATGAATAAGGACATCAGCAGGCATGAGTAATTTGTAGGCTACTAAACCAATCTTTGCTGCAATAGGATAAGGCCCATAATACTTAACAGCTAGTTTATTGAATGGTCTGGTAGCTACTGAAATTTGTCTGTAAGGTTGTAGCTTAAGATACACCCAATCTCCTATTTCAAAAGACCTTTCAGATCTGTGTTGGTTGGCAGTATCTTTCATCCTTTGTTGAGCTCTAGCTAGATGGAATTTCAACAACTGAATTATGGCTTCTCTTGCTTCCAAAGATCTATCGACCATTTCTACATCTGTATCACCATGCAAATAAGGAAGATGTATGGGAGGTTTCTGGCCATATAAGGCTTCATAAGGAGTACATTTGATAGTGGAATGATAGGTAGTGTTATACCACCACTCTGCCAAGGGCAGGTACTTGGACCAATCCTTAGGACTATCTGAACAAAAACACCTCAAATATGTCTCTAAGGTTCTGTTCAGCACTTCTGATTGACTATCTGTCTATGGATGGTATGCTGTGGACCTCTGCAATTGTACTCCTTGAAGAGAGAAAAGTTCTTGCCAAAAAGAGCTCAAGAAAACTGGATCTCTATCACTAGTCATAGTAAGAGGCATACCATGTAGCTTGAAGATTTGATCTAGGAAGCTTTGGGCCACAGTTTGAGCAGTATAAGGGTGTTGCAAACTCAAAAAATGCCCAGATTTAGTCAATCTGTCTACTACTACCAGAATAACTTCTTTGCCATGCGACTTGGGAAGGCCCTCAATAAAATCTGAACAAATATCAGTCCAAACACCTATAGGAATTGGCAAAGGTTGTAATAAGCCAGGTGAAGCAGCAACATCATATTTATGTCTTTGACAGACATCACACTTGTTGATAAAGTCTCTAACATCTGCAATAAGAGATTTCGAATGAAATAAGGATTGCAACCTCTTAATAGTGGCATCCATACCAAAATAGCCTCCCTGAGTAGTACTATGCCACAGGGTAATAATATTCTTCTTCAACTGCTGATCATTGCCCACAACTAATCTTCCCTTCCATCTAAGTTGGTTGTTAAACCAAGTGTAGGCCTTGTAAGGTTGAACTTGTAGTTTAGCTATTAACTCCTGTAGAATTGGATCACTGCCCCATGATGACTTAATCTGTGCATATAGGGAATCATTAGGAGTGAGTAAAGAAATAGCTAAAAGTTCAGCAGCTGGTTTCCTTGATAATGCATCTGCAGCCTTGTTCTCTGACCCCTTCTTATACTCAATAATGAAGTAAAATGCCATTAACTTGGAGATGCCAGCCACTTGGAAATCAGTATGCACCTGTTGTTCCAATAAATGCTTCAATGCCTTCTGATTTGTCTTAACAATAAAATGATTGCCCAATAAGTAATGTGACCACTTAGTAACAGCAAAGATAAGATCAAGTAACTCTCTATCATAGACTGATAGAATCTGATGCCTGGGAGCTAGGGGTTTGCTTATGTAAGCAATAGGATGCCCTTGTTGCATCAATACAGCTCCAATGTCCTTGCCACTAGCATCTGTCTCCACTGTAAAGGGTTTAGAGTAGTCAGGCATAGCTAATACAGGAGCAGAAACTAGGGCCTGCTTCAAACTTTTGAAGGCAGTGGTAGCTTCATCAGTCCATACAAAGCTATCCTTCTTCAGTAGATCATGAAGTGATCTACAAATAGTCCCAAAACCTTGAATGAATCTTCTATAATACCCTGCAAGACCTAAGAATCCCCTCAACTGTTTGATATTAACAGGTATAGGCCATTCCTGTACAGCAGCAATTTTCTTTGGGTCTGTAGACACCCCCTCAACACTGATAAAATGACCAAGGTACTCAACCTTAGCCACTCCAAATGCACACTTTGACATCTTGGCATATAGTTGATGTTGCTTCATAAGTTCAAACACAGCCTTCACATGATCCACGTGAGTAGTCACACTCTTACTATAAATCAAAATGTCATCAAAGAATACCAATACTGATTTCCTCAACAATGGTTTAAAAACAGCATTCATTAAACTTTGAAATGAAGAAGGTGCATTGGTTAGCCCAAAGGGCATTACCAAAAATTCATAATGTCCCTCATGAGTTCTGAATACAGTTTTGTTGATGTCTCCTTCAGCCATTCTCAGCTGATGGTAACCAGCTCTAAGATCTATTTTGGAAAAAATCTCAGCTCCACTTAATTCATCAAGCAAATCCTCAATCATGGGAATAGGGAACTTATCTTTAATAGTCATTTGATTCAAACTCCCGTAATCCACGCAAAGCCTCCAACTACCATCCTTCTTTCCAACTAACACTACAGGAGATGTATATGGACTGGTACTATGCTGTATTACCCCTTGGTCTAGCATTTCCTGTACCAATTTCTCAATTATATCCTTCTTGATTCCAGGATATCTGTAAGGTCTCTTATTAACAGGGTTAGAAGCTTCCTTAAGAGGTATTCTGTGATCATAAGGCCCCCTGTGAGGTGGTAAAGTAGTAGGTAATTCAAAAATACAGGCATACTGTTTAATAAGAGCTGTTAAGTCCGGTATGGGATCAGCTCTTGGTGTAGCTTGTATACTGTGGCAATAAATGTCTTCATCTCTACTGGCTACTAATGACATCAGAAGAATTGTGCATCTGCTCCCTCTTTCTTTACCAAACTTTTAGCTTTAGCAGCCTTAAGCTGATCATTTGCACCCCTATGAACATGCTTCTTTCATTGATACATGAATTCAATGGTCCTCTTTTTGAAGTCAAACAGTATCCTTCCCAAGGTATTCAACCATTGCACACCCAAAACAATATCTATATTTCCCAATGGTAGTAGTAAGAAGTCAGAGGAAAAAGTGGTGCCTTGTAATAACCACTGCAAGTCCTTACAAACTTAAGCAGTCTGCACTTTTCTTCCATCAACTATACTAACAGATTGCTTCAGAATAGAGCAAGCTTTGCAGCCCAATCTTGCAGCTACTTCCTCATCAATAAAATTGTGAGTACTCCCAGTATCTATCAACACTTGTAAAGGCCTCTTCTCATGGTATCCTGTAACTCTAATAGTCTGATAACCTGTTGCACCTGTAAATGCTTGTAAAGATATGGCCATAAACTCATTTGAATCCACCAGTAATTCTTGTACCCTATCTTCTGGTTCCTCTACTTCCACCCCTTCATCTTCTTTCACCTCTACTAAGTATATTTGTTTGTTACCCTTACACTTGTGACCTGGTACATACTTATCATCACAAAAAAAAAACATAATCCCTTCGACCTCCTCTCATCCATTTCAGCCGTGCTCAATCTCCTACCAGGAATTCTAGTGTTCTTAGTAAGGTTAGGTTCAAAAGGCTTTTTGTTAGTGGAGTTTGGTAATGGGTTCTTTTGGTTATACTGGAGTTTATTGAAATTAGGAGTAGGTAATATGCCAGTGTTGGTTCTAATGACAGGCTTGAGACCCCACGATTGAGGTTGAGCCTCAAACACCTCCTCCTGCAATCTTGCAATTCTGTAGGCCTGTAGCAATGTTCTAGGTGATTGAATTCTCACAACTTTGTTCAATTCTGGTTTAACGCCTCCTAAAAAACAACTAATTGCATTTTCATTAGACAAATTAACCCCAGTCAACAACCTATCAAATTCTACTTGATAGTCCTTAACACTACCAATTTGTTGCAGATTTTTTAAAGCTTCCATATGATCTTTAAATCCTTCCCCAAACCGTTCATTTAAAGCCAGTACATACTCAGTCCAAGTAGGTTCTAACACTGAATTCCTAGACTTCACATATGACCTATGCCAAGCAATAGCTTCCCCATCAAAATGAATAAAAGCTACCTTAACCCTCTGGTCAAATGCTACCTCATCCATAGAGAAAAACTGATCTACTTTATAGAACCAATTCTTCAAATCGTAACCAGAAAATCGAGGAAATTCAAGTTTAGAGTATCGAGTAAAAAAGTTACCATTAGCGGTTACACTGTGATGATCATCTCTGATCCTTCCTTCCTGTTGAATCTCCATTGAACCAGCTCGATCATTAGAAGATTCTGCTCTAACTTGTTCCTTTTCCTTCCCTTTCTGATTCATAGCTCCCATATACTCCTTCAATTCCAACAATTCCTTGTCAGTTTGTACATTACGCTCGTTTATAATCATCATCCCATCCATCAACTTTTGCAATTGATCGTTAATGGCTGTCAGTTTATCTTCCAATTCTTCAACAGATTTCTCCGAATTTTTGCTGCGCGTCATGATTGAAGCTGCCAAGGACGTGAAGCTCTGATACCAAATGATACAATATAGAAGAAAACAGAGGAAGGTAGTCAATCTAGGAGCTTAAGCTCGAAGAAGGTGATGGCTATGTCAAGCAATTGCGAGAATATAGCTTAAGAGAGAAGAGATTAGAGAGAGTAGATTGTATTAACCTCCAAAAGTATATATCCAGTACAATTGATTCAGCTATATAAGCTCAGCTGAAGATTCTAGAAGTACAACTTGTAAGCTAACCTCTAACTAACTATAACTGCCGTAACTAACTTGTAACTAACTATGCCACATCAGCTAACTAACTATGCCACATCAGCTGCCAGCTCGGATTCTGTTACAGCTTTAACTACTCAGCTTCTACTGCTCGACTTTTTTAACTTGTATCACTGACCCCCTAACTAACTACAGGCGGAGACTTATTTTCAACTTCACAATGCTTGAACAAACAAAAGAGAAAAAAGTTTTATTATCAGAAGACTGGACTGCAAAAAACAAGAAATGCAGTGAATCAATATCAAAGAGCAATATTCAATTTCTCCATGTATCCAAGGCTTCCAGCAATGTCAATGCCCTGATTCTTTCCTGCAGAAAAGAGGAAAATCAGTTTTTTTTTTAAAAAGAAAAAAAGGATCAGAAGTATAATTCAGTCTCTTTGCCTATAAGGGAATCTCTTCAAGTCATTCTTTACTGATTGCATTTTATTGGAATTGAGATTATACCCTTGAGAAATTTGACTTTATTTTTTTGTTTCCAAGTTAACACTCATCAACTAACACTAGTTTGAGGTGGTTTAGAAGAAATCATTCACAATATTCAATTTAGTCTAGTACCATAGTCCATAGTTAGAATAAAAAAACATGTTATTCATATTCTTAACCATATGTTTTTAAGTAAAGAAACGCGAGAACAATAGTGAATGATCACCATGACCATGCTCATGTCAACATGGGCTAAACATTTTATTGTAATAAAAAAAACAAAATACTTCTCAAATTAATGTTTGAGCAAAATGCAATGCAGAGTAAAGAAGTTTTTCTCAACTGACCTTTTAAATCAGTTTCAGGAGGTAATACAATGAGTTAGAGTTTGATGCTTTCAGGAGCGCGACCGGCCGAGATGAGAAAACTCAACTGGCACATTCTCAAGCTTAGCACAGTTAAGAACAAGTTTCTTAAGTCTTGGGAAGTGATCTCTTGAAGCCTCCCAACATTCGAGGTCAGCCTTTTGAATCCACAAGACCTGGAGTTGTTTAAAACCTCCTTTCTCTGGCTTCCAGGACTTCCCCGTGAATGCATCTTCTTTCAACCTCAAGACCTCAAGGCATTCCAGCTGGCCCAGTCTATCCGCCTCGTTCCATTTAAACCTTGTATTTGACAAAGTTAACTTCTTCAGTTTGCGCAAAAATCTGAATAATTCTGGAGGAAGGTGAAGAGCTTCACTCATGTAAGGAACATCATTCATCAGTTTCAATTTTTCTAGGCGCCCTAACCCTTGAAAAGTGCTGAATCCGTCCTTGTTAGTCTCAAGAAAAGCTCCCAGTCGCCCTTGAATACTCAACTTTTTGAGATTTCCGGCCTTTGCAAGCACAACTTTATTGCAACTTTTTGGTGCAACTTTAGACAGAATTTGTAGGCAAGAGCCTTCAACCGTTGGGTTAGGAGGGGGCAGCAATTCTGCGGGGATGTTGGTCTTTAGATGCCTCAACCGTGACAAGTTCCATATATTTGCTTTTATTTTAAGAGTGGGCTCAGGTGTACTTGTATTAACTATGAGAAATTGTAAATTCCAGAACTTACCAAAGGATGCAGGAAGTTCCGCAAAATCACCTGAGATAGCAATATACCTCAAATGAAATAGTTGGTTAAGATACATGGGGAGGAAAATTTTAACAGATTGGATTTCCAAGACCCTGATCAGTGGAAATGCTTGGGAGATGATTCTAACATCATGAAGAGACAACTCGATTTGTCTTTCTGTTGTCGAAAAGCATAAGAAAGATCTAACATGTTCTGCATTTAATTGTTTTCTGGAGAGAAAATCACGCAGAACAGATGATTCAATACACAAGCGACGAGAAGTATCTGGATCTTGTATGGAAGGAAGAATCTGATCCGGTGTTAGACGTAGTTCTTGGAAAACACTTTCCATTATCGCCTCCGTCTTGTAGAACTCATACAACACGTCGTGAAAACCAATTTCTTTTATTGAATCACCATCCCTCGACAATGTGACTAGACCCCTCAGAGCAAACTCCTCCAAGTAATTCTCTGCTAGCTCCTCGAAGGTACACGTCGGACTGGACTTTATTAGTCCCTCGGCGATCCACAAGCGAATCAATTTCTGAGCAGGGATGGAATAACCTTGAAGAAAGGCGAAGCAATACAAGAAACACGCCTTCATTTCTTGGGGCAAAATGTTGTAACTGGTTTCCACAATTTCCCAGCAACTTGCAGGGTCATTCTCTATGACAAGGTACAGCCCCACATTTTTCTCGATTCTTTCCCAATAATTTTTGTTCGGACGAGATCTTAAGGCTCCAGCACTTAACTGTACTGCAAGTGGTAATCCACTACATTTCGTTGCAATACTTTTTCCAAGTTCTACTAACTCGTCAGGACATCTTTCACTACCGAAAGCTCTCTTTTCCAGCAATTGAAAACTTTCTTCGTCAGATAGATATTTCAGACGATGAGGATGTTCACTGGCATAGCTAGCCACATACTCGTCGCGAGTGGTCATCACGATCCGATGACCTTTGTTGTTTTGTTCGAGAACTCTTTTGACCAAATCCACAACCACAAGTTCTTTAGCCCACACATCGTCCAGGACAATGAGACATCTACCACCTTCTTTAGCCATAAAATCACATATTACTTCAGCTAATCCGTTCACATCTTTATAGCGAAATTCTTCAATGCGTTCCATGAACGATATGAGAATCTTAGAAAGGATACCCTTTAGTTCGTATGACCTGCCGACATAAACCCAAATTTTCTTGGAAAAATTATTTGAAATCTGAGAATGACTCCAAACTTTCCTTGCCAATGTGGTTTTGCCAATTCCAGGCATACCCACAATAGGAACAACTTCCAGATCCTTTGATCCTTCAACAAGTCGTTTGATCACATATTCCGCTTCGTAATCAAAGCCAACCACTTCTTTATACTCCAACAGAGTATCCTATTAAGATGAACAAATAGAGTGGATATCAAAAATCAGAGTTGAGAATCTTTTGATCTTTTGCACTTAGAACTAGAGCACCCATTTCAAGCTATTAATAGCAATGGAACAACAACAACAATGACCATTAAGCCTCAAACCCAAACAAGTTAAGGTCGACTATATGGATCTTCAGTGACCATGTTTCTCCATTTAAACTCATATCAAACCAACATTATATCAAATCAAGAAAAGTAAAAGCACAAGAAGTTCTCTATTTCTTTTACTAGGATATAAAAATCTAAAACGGTTAAAGATTCATAGAAAGCATAAGAACGTACACCTACTCACATGCCTAAAGCATATTCCCAACTAATTGTTATCACCAATATATAGATTTTATTTCTTCCATTGTGCTTTATTTTTTTACTATACAATTTTCATGGATTCCAAGGGATTGTAGGTCTTTCGAGACAACTTCCTTTCTTGTAAATTTAGGTCTACCCATTCTTTTTTAACACCTTAACTCACCATGACAATTTTCATTGTCGTTGAGGGGTGAAAATACATTCACAACATTTGATGAGCGAGAATATCTGTACTAATAATAATAATAATAATAGAAAACAACTTCACATGTATCCCAATCTTGAGTCATAAAAATATAAAGATTTTAGTTATATATATACTGATAGTATCTAGATGTTTACCGTATCAGTGAATTTAACCTGTAATAGTTTTCCGTTATCATTTAACAAGATTTTCAATTAATGTTTAATTATTTATCAAGAGATTTACTAGTAATTACATAATAAGTAACCTGACTGTAAAATTCTTTTTTGCACTTAAAGCAAGTCGCCTAGGTTCTTAAGAACATTTTTTATTTTGTAAAGTAAAGTGGAATTCTACCTAGACTCAATCTTTAATTGAAGTATAGCATTATGAGAACTCTTTCAGGAATTTAATAAGTTTATCAAGAAATTGATCAGAAAACCCAAATACGAAATTTAATAGCATTATGATTTATTTTTATATCTCTAAAAAGGTAAAAATTTGTGATATGGTCGTTGCAGTTGATGGCCGAGTGTTGTCCTTGTTTGTAGCAGCAGCTTTGATACACCATTTGGTGTCTTTCGTGTTATTTCATATCCCTACACTTCTGTTACTACTTGTTGTCTTCTTGTGTCTCGGTTTCGTGATTGCATTGCCTACTGACTAGTTTTGTATTTCTGCTTCGGTTGTTAGATCAGTTTGCTTGCTATTGCCCTTCCCCTCTCCCCATCCTGAGCTGAGCCGAGGGTCTACCGGAAACAACCTTTGTGCCTTACTAAAGGCGGGGCACCCAGACCCCACTTGTGGGACTAAACTGGATATGTCATTGTTGTCGTTGTTGGTTGAGTTGATGTAAACACTAGAATATTAAAAGGCACAAATTCCAAGATATTTTTGGTGGTAAAAAAGAATTACCTGAGGCTCCCGTGCAACTTTTTGTGGTAGATCGAGCATTGGTTTGGGCTGAAAAGCCTTTTGATTATTTTGGCGAAATTCCTTCACATTTTGATGAATTGTTTTAATATCCTTTGCTAGATCCCAAACTTTTCTAACATGGCATAAATCAAAAGACCTTTTCACTTTATTCTTCTCTTGATGTAGCTTCGCCTGAACAAGGAATTTGTCAATGACATCCTCAGCTCTATGCACTGTAATTCTGATGTCTCTGACCAACTGTTTCCACAGACTGCTATCGCTATGGTATTTTGCTGCATCATCAAGGAAAGCTTTTAGGCGGCGAACTTCTTCTAGCAGATTTTGAAAGTCTTTCTCAACACCTGAAATCAGCTTGACATTGTTAGTGACTAGCTGCAGTAGGTTCTCCAGCAGAAAATTTACCACTGCATCTGCCATATATATATTTTATTGGGTAAAGCAAAATTGTACTCGGAGTGTAAGGTTAATTACTTAGCGATGAAATCTTCTTACAATAGCTGCATATAAAGAAGATTAGATGTGGAATTCTTCATCTCCGGTTGACTTGTCTGCTGAATTATTGGTTATTCTTCATCTCCAGTTGACTTCACCTGCTGAATTATATAAACCAAGGTTTTATTTAGGCCAAACCCATTCAACTTGTGGCCATTTTTCATTTTGGCACTTTATGTCAACCTTGTACCATTTTGGCTCTTTAATTCTATTTTATATGTTTTATTTTGGCCCTCCAACTCTATTTTTTATGTTCCACTTTAGCACATGAAATCAGTGTAAAAAATATAGCACGTGTATATACACAAATCTGAGGTGTAATAAATATCCAATTAAATATTGCCACATGATTTTTTATCCATGTCAAACGGGTCAATACTAAAATACCTGAACCTGACCGTATTTGGGTAAAATTAAGTCCCCTTCTTATTTACACAAGAAAATGACAACACTGAAAATGAAATCCGAAAATGGTTTACTTACTTTGTCAAATTTATACCCATAAAAGCGCCAACCATGATTGCTTGGTGTCCATGATACTTTCAGTTCAACTTGAAATCCACAAGAACAAATATTCATTCCATTATGAAAAATAATTTTTTTTGAGGCATAATTCACTTCAAACTTCAAGCTTAGATGAAATAAACCCACAAAAAAAAAAGAACAATAAAATTGCAAAAGTTTGAAATTTTCTGGATGGCCAAGTATGAAATCGGCAGATGAAAGCTTTGGAACTTTGAGAATGAAGATGGGGCAGTGGATGAAAAAATACAGTCGGGTTCGGGTATTTCAGTATTGACCCGTTTGATATGTATGAAAAAAACCGGTGGCAATATTTAATTGGATATTTATTACATCTTAGATTTGTGTGCGCTATATCTTTTGCACTGGTTTCAGCTTTTATGTTAAAGTGGAACATAAGAAATAGAGTTGGAGGGCCAAAATGAACATATAAAATAGAATTTAAGGACCAAAATGGAACAAGGTTGAAATAGAGTGCCAAAATGAAAAATAGGGCCAAGTTAAATGGGTTGTTTATTTATTTGGCCTTTTATTTAAGAAAAAAGAAATTAGATCACCACGACAATTTGGTAAACCAAGTCTTTGTCTTTACTTAAGCATGCTTAAAATAATTACCCTTTCCTATCTGTTCGAAAACTATTTACAATACGTAAGAGGACTCTTGTATTATGAGAAAAGGTTTAAATACACTCCTCTTTATATTTTCGGTCCAAATATATTCCTGCTATAATACTATTGGTTTAAATATATCATTTTTTTGTTAAGTTTGTGCAAGGTGGACAATCAATCTTACGTGGCACTAACATTTGATGAGGTGGATGCCACGTGGCATGCCACCTCACTACCTCTAGCCCATTTTACCCCTCCCCTATATTTGTTTTTTCACCACTAAAACTTTAGTGCCACGTGACATCCACCTCATCAAATGTTAGTGTCATGTAGGATTGGATGTCCACCTTGCACAAACTTAATAAAAAAATGATATATCTGAACCGATAGTATTACTGCAAGGGTATATTTGTACCGAAAGTATAACGAAGGGTATATTTAAATATTTTCTCATAGTACAAGGATATATTTGGCCCTTTTCCGTTTACAATATATACTCATCTGATTAAAACTAATTACCCCACATCCATCCCAACTTTTTTTTTACCCATTTGGCTTAGCTTGATTTGGTTTTAGCTTAGCTCGGATTGGCTTGAATTGACTTGACTTTGCTTGGTTTAGCTTGAATTGACTTGGTTTATCGTAGCTTAGTATTTTCCGCCCATGGATATTTGCTAAACTCCCCAATAATTAGTTACTCTAGTGACAGCTGGTAGACCGTAAAGTTCTTCTCAAGTATTCTGTTTCTATGTGGTCTTCCCAAATTGATTTAGCGAAAGAGGGATTGCCTTAGGCTATAAATATTTTTCGTTCATCTATCCATACAAAAATCCCTACCCCCCCCCCCCCCCCTTTTATTTTTCAGCAATTCTAAATTTAAAAAAAAAGTTTATTACTGATCTAATTTTCAATCTTGACCCCAGTTAATTAAAGGAATTTTTACATTCCTATACACTATATGAAACTATATTACGCTTCCTACTCAAGTTTTACTATAATTATATTTTATATACCCAATTATCATTTATGTACATTTTAAGGGAATTAATGATAATAATTAGTGTCATAAAATCACTCTAACGTATCTTCCACTCCCTCCACGTTTCTCTCTCCACATCCCACCCCTCTCCCCACGTATCTTGCATAAGAGAGCAGCAATTCTACCATTGGCAACCATTAAAAAGCTTTGAAGCTTTGAATTCAAATTTGGGTTTTCAAAATACATTATTTGTTTGAATTGGGTGTTGTTGCAAAGAATTGGGAATTGTCTCTACCTCTCTCTCTATCTCTCAATCCCTAATTTCAGTATGTAAAGCAAAGGAAAAGAGAGCAGCAATTCCACCATTGACGGCCATTAAAAAGCTTTGAAGCTTTGAATTCGAATTTAAATTTTCAAAAACCGTTATTTGTTTGGATTGGGTGTTGTTGCAAACAATTAAAAATATGGTTTGGAGTTTATATCTCAATTTTGAGGGTGTTTTGGTGAAGATTAGACTTGATTTTGGCTGAATTTCAGATTGAAACTCGAAGCAGAAGAAGAAGAAGAAGAAGAAGAAGAAGAAGTAGAAGAAGAAGAAGAAGACATGATATATATATTATATTTACGCAATTGTAGAAAAATTTGTAGAAAAATTATATAATTATTGTATGAAAGTTGAACAATATTGTATAAAAATTATATTTAAGTTGTATGATATTGCAGTTGTATATAACTGGGTAGAAATAATGTATGAAAGTTGTAGATAAGTTGTATAATATATAATTAGTTGTATGAAATTTATTTTTACTATGTATAAATCAGATACAAAATATACAAAAGACATATTGTATAAAATTTGTATAAAAATTGTATGTAAGTTTTATGATATTGCAGTTGTATTTAACTGTATAGAAATAATGTAAAAAATTTGTAGATAAGTTGTAGACTAGTTGTAAATAAGTGTATACCGTAAGTATTGAGTGTGATCCAACAGAAAATAGCTGGGAAAATCTCTAGTCATAGAAAAGAGATAAAGGCTAGTTTAAAACAAGTACTTTTAAAATTAAGGCTATCCCACGTCATTTTTAAGAGGTGTATTAAACTCTTTTTGAAATTAAACAAATACAGAGAGATGGATGTAGCTAAAAGGCTATGGACTCAGTAACTTCAATATGTAGCTTATTGATTTTCGTTCTATAAAGGCTAATTCTAGGTTTACTTGAATTTATTGCTTTCGCTTTAACTGTATATTCTCTTATATTAGAAATAACAGTTGGGGTTTAAGCTATCTGTGTTCTGCCTGGCTATGACATGCTTCTCTGGCGTTTCAACAGACCTCTACGAAAAGTAAGAGTCTTAAAGTTGATAACTTATACCAAGTAATATCTCACGGGATAGATATTGCAATTTACTTAGCTTGCACCCTCTCTGAAACTCTCCTGCTACTTTCTCACTCCTTTGTTCTTATCTTCGAAGCTCTGTGGAAAATTGAAGTAAGGGAAAACTCAGGTTGAAATCACCTGACGCTGGGTTCGCTGCTACACCCGTGAACTGGTGAGTTTACATTTTCTATGCATAAGGGTCTTATTTTGTACTCAATTTCTTCGTCTGTGTTTTTTCCCCTTTTTGGGTGGAGCTTTGGCATTGTTTCTTATCACTGTCATTCTAGGGCAGAGAAAAATATCAAGAGTTCTCATGAGAATCTTTGTCAGGTGTTTTGATTTTAGGGCACTCAATTTTTCCGGTTATTCAACTGCATAAAAGGACTTACAAACAACAGAAACCGATTATTTGTCAATTGGGTTCTCATTGAAAAAAAAGAACTGAAAAGACAATTTCTTTAAAGGGAAGATCAAAATGGTTGTTGAAATTGGTTTTCGCTTCTTCATTCCAACTTGACTTTCCTAAATCCATTTTTGGGTAATAGGTGCTAGGAAATTTGGTTATTTTATGAAGGTCATTTAAATCTAGACCAAATTCGTGCTCACCAGCTCAAGTAGGAGCTGAACCCACACCCACTCATCACTCATCAACAAAAGCTTGTCCCCCTTTGATGTGAGAAAACTGAAAAATTATCCGAATAGCTAATTAATCTTCTGTTGTCTGACTTTATCAATCAAAACTCAGTTGTGATTTAGTGATCTTAAGAAATATTTTCCTAATAGAGATGAATTAAGAATGCAATTCACCATAATAATAGTACATGCTATATTACTTTAACTTAGCTAGCTATTAAAACAATGTAGCAATGTCAGACATTCGAACATCTCTCATTCTACTAATTAAAAGCAATTGGGAAAGGGTATCATGGTTCCAAAAGCATAATTAGTTTCACAGTGCAACTGTTTGAAGTAGATGTTCTAGATGAATATAGCAAGCAAATTTTACAAAAAGGTAGGAGAACACAGAAAAGTATATACGGGTCTAACATGGGGAGGAATGTTTTTAACAAGCCTAATTGATTCTTTTTGTGAAATTTATGAAAAATGCAATTCCTCTTATAGATTAAACTGCTATTCTGGAGTCATTTTAAGGTGACTAAACAGATATAAACTGAAAAGTCTTATAGTGGACTATGGTTCTACTATTCATAATCTAAAAAATAATGTTTAATTTTGGGAAGCTTTCAAGTTAATCATGTGCCTTTTCTTCTTACTGGCATCCACACATTCTTTAAGATATCTTCTCTTTGGTAAAGTGCAATTGATTTGAATAGCAACTGTAACAACTATGTTTTAGTATGGTTGCACACTTGCAGTGTTATTTGTTTCCTGACTGATGAATTTTATAATGTTTAACAATTTTAGAACTTTTGTACCAACAGATATTTGGCAGCAACAAATTTTAATATTGATGGACTCTGGACAAACAAACAAACGTCCCTATGAAAAGAAATGTCCTGATAGGAATGTTAGACGACGCGAACAATATAAAGTTAAGATGGCCAATGAAAAGAGTGCACTAGCACTACACGAAGTGCTCACAAGTCAAGTGTTACAACATAGTCGCTTTGAGAGAATGACTTCTACCATCTCTACTGATACATCATCAGGACATTTACAGTATACTCCTAATATAATGGACTCCTCCTATACTTCCAAAACAGGTTAGTATATTAATTCTATATCGCAATGTATACAACATGAGTAACTGTTTCACCATTACCGCAAATATAATTTCTTTGTGTGCATGAATATTTATCTAAGTTTAATACTGTAAACATCTACTGCGCTTATGCTTACTATGCAGAGAGTAAAGTTACATTGCTTCCATCATTTCCTGCTTTCGACAAACGAAATCCTCTTTGCACTTATGAGAAAGGCAAGTTACTGAAATTTTGCATAAGTTTACACTAATATACAAGACATATTAATGTTAATTAAAAAATTACTTATGTGGTAGGTTCAACATCGGTTGTACCTAATGAACAAAATGACACAGCTGAGATAGTGATAACTAAAGGTTTGTATTTGTGTCTTCTTTGAATAATATCATTTTGTGCTTACTGTTTCACTCCTTACAACCTCTAGAACATGTAGGTCGCAGTCGAAATAACAGAACTGCTATGAATATTAAGCTACGGTCAGACTATGTACCGTTAAAAAAGACTCAAAACTGTAAATTCTGCTCTGCAAAAAGATTTGAATATGAATCTCCTGGATTTTGTTTTGGCACTGGTACAGTTAAGATAATTTCACATTGAATGCCTGCTAAGCTTCATAATCTATACTTCGAGAATAATGAAAAATCCCAACACTTTCGAACATACATCAGAACATATAATAATTCGTTTGCATTTACATCACTTGGTGTAAATTATGATACAGGCTTAGTGCGAAGGAATCTTGGTATCTATACTTTCAGAGTTCAAGGACGAATGTACCACCTAATAGATGATTTGTATCCCGGAGGGAAAAACCCAAAAAATCTACAGTTGTACTTTTATGACAACAACAATGAGTTAGCAAATAGAATGGCATGCTCTAACAAAGTCAATGAATCTATAGTGAGTGAACTGATGGACATGTTGAAAGTTAACCTATACTCCTTTTTTATCCGATCTTTGATAGATATTCCTGAGCTACAGAACTTCCATATTGGACTCAAATGTGATCCTGATTTAGGTCAGCGAGTATATAATTTGCCAACTTCATCAGAAATTGCTGCAATATGGGTTGAGGACAATGACAATAATATAACGCATGCCCCACATATTTAAATTTATACCCATAGCAACATAACACAAATAGTGAACTATTATTACGGATGTTATGATGCCTTACAATATCCTTTGTTGTTTCCATACGGATAAAATGGGTGGCATTGTGGTATTAAGAAAATTCCTAAAGCAAAAAATATTCGTGGAAGTTATACTCATGAATGTGAACAGTTATCAAGCATACGAAATCTTTGCTCTCTCGATTCATATCTTCAAACTGAAGCTCAAGCTTTAGAAAAAGGAAAGAAAAAAAGAACAGTTTCTGCTCGTGAATATTATTGTTATAAACTTCAAATGAGAAATGATGATGAAGACGAGTTACTACACACTGGTAGACTATTTCAGCAATATTCAGTTGACGAATACATAAAAATTGAAACCCAAAGATTGGATTTTGCTTAGTTCAATCAAGATTTATTTAGAATGGGTATATTGCAAGGACTTCTAGATATTTTAAGACTTGGCGAACGAGATTCTTCTAATATTGGTAAGCAAAAATTCCTTTCAGCTTCTTTTATAGGTGGACCTAGAGATATGCGACAACGATATATGGATGCTATTGCATTAGTACAACGTTTTGGTAAACCAGATTTGTTTATAACTATGACTTGTAATCCGACCTGGCCGGAAATAAAAGAACATTTGTGGACAACTGATGAGGCGCAAAATAGACCTGATTTAATTAGTCGAGTATTCAGGGCTAAAGTTGAAGAACTGAAAACTGATATAAGCAAGAGAAATATCTTTGGAAAAGTTGCTGCTTATATGTATACTGTTGAATTCCAAAAACGAGGTTTACCACATGCTCATTTCCTTATAATATTAGCTAATGAATATAAGTTATTGACATCGGAGGCTTATGATGGAATTATTAGTGCTGAACTACCAGATGCTAATTTGGATAAAAAATTACGTTCGCTTGTACTTAAACATATGATGCACGGTCCATGCGGTAATCTGAATCCAACAAATTCCCGTATGAAAAAAAATGGTCTTTGCAAGTTTAATTATCCAAAAAATTTTGCTGAACATACATCAAAAGGAAGTGATTCTTATCCCATCTATAAAAGACGAAACACAGGAGAGGTTGTGAAAGTACGGGAGCAATATTTAGATAACTCTTGGGTTGTTCTATACAATCCTTTTTTACTTGATTAATTCAACTGTCATATGAATGTTGAGGTTTGCTCTGATATAAAGGTTGTTAAATATCTTTACAAATATATTTGTAAAGGACATGACAAAATTGCATTACGTACATGATAATGATACAAACAAAGAAATAGATGAAATAAAGGAGTATCAATCTGCTAGATGGGTATCACCACCTGAAACTGCTTGGAGTTTATTTGGTTTCTCTATTAGTGAGATGTATCCAAGCGTTTATTACCTTCAGCTACATCTTAAAGGGCAGCAACTTGTTTCTTTTAAAGGCAATACAGATATTAACTCAATCATTAATAATCCTATGATTAATAAAACAATGTTGACAGAATTTTTCCAGATGAACAGAACTAACAAAGATGCCATAAAGCTTAACTTATTATACAAAGAATTTCCTGAACATTTTGTATGGTCAACTACAGACAAAACATGGACACGACGACAACAACGTTGTGTCGTTGGTCGTATCGTAACGTGTCACCCAACTGAAGGGGAACGATATTATCTAAGACTACTATTGCTGAATGTGAGGGGACCGAAATCATATGCAGATCTTCGAACTATAAGGGTAAACGTTATAATACTTTTAGAGAATCCGCATAAAAAAGGGGACTATTACACTGTGATAACAGTTTAATTGATTGCATGTCAGAGGCAGCAAGTTACCAAATGCCATATAATTTAAGATGTTTATTTGCTACATTATTAGTGTATTGTAATCCAGCCAATCCAAAAGAAATATGGAAACAATTTTAAGAATCAATGTCAGAAGATTTCAGAATGTTACGTAATGTTGAAAGGAAAGATATTCAATATCAAGTTTTAAATCATATTAATGATATTTTACACTCTATGGGTCATAATGTAAACGAATATGAGCTTATCCCAGAAACAGTTTGAGCATCTATATTGGAAAAAGAAGCAAAGGAGGTATTCTTTGAAAGAGCCATCACGGTTAGTGAAGAGGATATACTGTTACACAAAAAATTGAACGCAAAACAATTGCAAGCATACAATGTGATTATTGACCGAGTATTTTCCAAGAAACCAGGAGCTTTTTTTATTGATGGTCCAGGGGGAACTGGAAAAACTTTCTTATATCGTGCCTTATTAGCGACCGTACGTAGTAAAGGATATATAGCTCTAGCAACTGCTACTTCTAGCGTTGCTGCTTCAATTCTTCCAGGTGGGCGAACTGTACATTCACGTTTTAAAATACCTATAGACATTGATGAAAATTTCAGCTGTAATATCAGCAAACAAAGCTCAACTGCAGGTCTGATTCGTGATGCCAAATTAATTGTATGGGATGAAGTGTCTATGGCTAAAAAAAGAATGCTTGATGTATTTGACTTGCTCTTAAAAGATCTTATGGATACAAATATGCTATTTGGGGGAAAAGTCGTCGTTTTTGGAGGTGACTTTAGACAAACTCTTCCAGTTGTTCGAAACGGGAAAAAAGAAGATTTCATTAGTGAAAGTTTACTATATTCTACCATTTGGGACGAACTTGAAAAATTGCAACTATCTGAGAATATGAGGCAAAAACAGATCCTGCTTTTTGTGATTACTTGATGAGAATTGGAAATGGGCAAGAAAGGGTAAACTCTAATAACAAAATTGAACTTCCAGATTCTTTAGTTATTCCTTTTACAACTGAAGAAGAATCTCTAGATCATTTATTCACTATGACATTCTCAAATGCACAAGCATGCTCCTCTAATTCTTGTTCGGCAGGTTCTCACGTTATCCTAACGACAAAGAATGATTTTGTGAATGAATACACTATTTGAAACCTTATTACCCTCAATGTCCATGTTTAGTTAATTACCCGGCATAAAGAAATTTTATTTACAAAATATATACAATCCCAAATCCATTATCTGTGCCTTCAATCAAGGGATTTAGTTATACCCTTTTCCTTTTTTTTCTCCTAGCCAACATGTGCTTTCATCCCCCACCGCTAACACTACTCCTCTTCACACCAACCCTCGTCTTTTCTTTGCTTTGTTTTTGTGTTACTTTATTTTTCTTCTACAGGCATCTCTAAATTATGCACTAATTTCTATTTTGACAGTTTATCGTATTGAATAACTTGTTTTGGTTTCCTATCACTATAATTAATTGGTGTAAATTTAGCGAATCGTAGCATAACAGTAACCCGCCCGAAAAGCATCTCGCCAGGAAAATTATTTTTTCCGCCATTTTTTTTCTACATTACCTTTCTTTTGTATTCTTTTTTCGCTCTCATCCTATTTTGTTTGTAGCCATAGATTTTTTTAAGACCAACACAATATGGATATCAAACTTTATATATTCATTATCAGACAAGATAATTTAATCAAATATGCCTAAGAAGTATATACTAACCCAAATTAAAAAAAAATAAGCAAGGGAGTTTAACTCCTTAGTAATTCTTATTATAAGGGATTTGCGAGACCATAACAATATTAAAAATTTTCAATAAGGCTATAAAGTTGCATAAAACTGGAAAAAGTAGAGATGGCCAGATACTTTTTTTTGAAGGATCCAAATTTTATTTTTCTTCCTTTGATTTTATTGTTTAAATTTCTATTATTTTTCCACCAAAATTTGTTAACTTTAAGTGTTTCTTAAAATAAAATAGTCACTATGATATTGATGATTTAGATTTTTTCCAAATTAAAAGTGTTAGAAAAAATAGTATAAGAAGAAGATAGTACTTTATTTGATATATACAATCGTACAAAAATATTATTCTTTTCTAAATGCCTTTAATGCATATAAATAGCGTTAACAATTCATATAATAGTTGTCTCAACGGAAAAGTATTTTCAAAATTAAAATTAGTAAATCCTACCTTAGATCAATATGTCACAAGAAATATTAAATGGATTAGATATATTTTTGGATAAACAAAGTGGATTAATGATATTCACAATTGAATAGGTAATATTTAGAAGAAATCTATTATAGAAAATTAATACTCATAATTTCATCTCAAAGAGCTAGAAAAATAGACTTAAATTAAATATATACTCATGAGGTCTTTTTTTTTATTTTATTTTTTACAAAATGAAAATAAGTGATCTTATTAAGGTTTGGCTTTAGGCCACCAACTTCATTGAGCCGTCCTGTTCTGTGTTAGAGATATATTTTAATATTTAAAAATATTACCTCCCCCCCCCCCCTCTATTTTAATTTATGTGGCACCGTTTATATTTTGAGAATCAAACTTTTTTATTTTGATCGTGAATTTAGATATGAACCTTTAAATTTATTAAAATATAATTTACACATTTAGAAACTATGTAAAAAATAATATGTCACAATAATTAATAATTTAAAATATTTTATAGACATAAAAATATGGTAAAAAAAGTTGTTTGATTCTCAAAGTTTAAACGATGTCACATAAATTGGGACGATCGGAGTGATAACAATAATGTGTGACCTTTCACTTTCTTAGTGGCTATAGAGACTAAAAAGTGATTATAATATCTTTGTAACTACAAACCCATGATCTAGAAAATGGTCATTACATCTTTCATTCACTCACCCATAATCTGCCCACTATTTATCCACTAAATTATCCACCAATCAATTAATACATGTTTATTACCCAACTACCATCATTTTACTCTATGGAAGAAATTCTACATGCATAATTAGAAGCCTTTCTTCATTGTATAAGTGAGTGAAAAATCTTGTTAGTGTGTATGTAAAAGTGATTAGAGGCGGATCTAGGATTTTGAGTACATGGGCGCACTACTGAAAAAAGGAGGAAAAATTATATTAAATGGGAAGTGATCCCTATTTCTCTTGGTAAATAACTCAACCTTCAACCAAGTGCATCGTTCAACCTTCTTGAAGCTAGGTGCCAACATCTAATATTATACATATTTAAAAAATATGTACATAAAATATCTAATTTTACTGAGAGACCATGTGTTCACGTATAAATTCGCCCCTGAAAGTGACGTCTATTCTGGGAAAAAAAAGGGTTGTGAGAAAGAAAAATGTTTAACGTTCCAACTTATTTACTACACAAGAGGGTATTATTTTGTTGGGGAAAGCTGTGTTAATGGTTGAGCTTTGGACTCAATAAATAGTTCAGAGTTTATTATTGTTGGTTGCACCGGTGAAATTTCTATCAAAGTGGATTTTAATCTCCTTAAAAAGGCGAGATACCCGAGCCTCAGCTTAAAGAAATTTTATTTTTTCACTTATAATTGTATATTCACCAACATTCTCCATTATCGTTCTTCATGTGTAAACGAGGCTTTAATTTCTTGTATCAGTGTCTCTACGCCTCTTTCATTGTTTCGCCCTTCTTGTGTTAACATGGAAGTGGTAGTTGCACTGACCGTACGTGGGCATTAGATTACATTTGAAACATGGATACTGCATGTAGGGGCGGCTCAAAGAATTGTGTGGTCAAAATATATTAAAAGGCCCTAGAAATTTCATGAAATCCATTACGTAATGAGACACAAAAGAAGCCCACATGACTACACGTGATGAAGTTAGGCTCATATCACCATTTCGAACTCTCCATGGATAAAAGCGTGATATTTATGTGAAAAGGGTTGATGGTAAGTTCATTATCCATCGATTTCAAATCTTGCACCATTGCCCTCTAGAATTTCTTAGTTAAAAAAGATGAGACACAAAAGAATTTGCTTTTTAATATATGGATCAATCAAAATGATTTAAAAAAAAAGTAGCTAATTCAGAGAATTTGAGTTGAAATTAGAGAATGAAATCGTCAAAAATTTGAAGAAAAAAAAGAGTGTATGCAGATGAAAAAAAATTAGAATTGATGAGAAGGTAAATATACGAGAGAGAGAGAGAGAAAATTTGTGACTATTTACTCACCGATCAAACAACCTCAATCAAATTTAGAAAATGCAAAAATTTGAATTTTTTATTAATAATAACTGTACAAATTATATGTTATATATAATATTAATATACTAGTAGTTCATAATTTTGGGGCCTTAATATTTAGGGGACTAAGGGCTTCATTTGGTAAAAATAGCACGAGCTAGCCAGTTTTCGGACTGGTCATTTAAAAATAGCCAGCGTTTGCAAAGTCATTGAAAAATAGTCACTATTTTGCTGCAACACGAAAATTTCCAGCATAATATACTGGAGATCGGTGCACCTGTGTATGAACTTCCAGCATATTATGCTGGAACTCCAACACGCGGAAAGTCAGTATAATATATTGGAGATTGGAGCACCTGTGTATGAACTTCCAGCATATTATGCTGGACCGGTATATTATACTGGAACTCCAGTATATTATACTCGAGTATTTTCCGGATTTTGAACAGTGTTTTCGTTCAGATTTATCTTTACATAAAAATAGCTAAATTTCGATTACTTTTGAAACTGTAGCTATTTTTGAATGACCACTTGTAAGCTATTTCTGAATGACCCCTTCATTTGCCCTACCTTAGAGCCGCGGGCCGCCCCTGGCTGCATGGAAGCCTGTAGAGTATTAATCTGTTAATTAAATGCTGATTAAGGAACTGTCAAATAAAGTGAACAAAACTAAAATGATCATGTTGTAGATAAGCTGGCTCGCTGTTGCTTTTGCAGGACAAAACTATCATGGTGGATAGAAGTGAACCAAGAGAAAAAAAAAGAAGGGTTTAACGAAGAAAAGGTAGCATGTATTACTGATTCAACATGTTCACTAGATATGTAAATGAATCTTACTTCTATTACAAAGAAACAAAAATAAAAATAATAATAATTAGGAACCTACTAATTGATGTCTCTGTTTACCTCGAAAATATAATTAAATTTGATTTGTGGTTTTAAAGATACGTGATTTAGTTCTATACCAATTAATAATCAAGAAGTATGAAGTAGAAATGAAAGAGAAAAGTGAATCAAATCAATGTTACTTAGCGGCAGTGACCTCGAGCTCAGTGACCTCGAGGTAGGTTTGGAATAATAAGAACAATTAAGTAAATAAAGTAAAGCAAGAACAATAGAGCTAAAGGACAATGCTGATGAACAGTAGGCGAGAAAAGTAGAGAGTATATTCTTTGCTCAGTGATCAGATGATGTTACAAATGATTGGGGTCCCCTTTATATAATAGGGGAACCCTAAATAAGAAATATTTCTATCTACAGTAGGGAATATTCTTGATACAGCTATCTAACCGCCTATTATGGAATCGTACAATCTTGTTTCGGGATTTGTGCCGCGATTATGCGGATGTGGCAGGAATCTAGCTCATTCTGTTACAAATTCCTAACGGTACTATTTCGGGGTCGAGTATACTCGGGCCTGGTCCTCCTCGTACACCTATCTCCGGGCATTGAACTCTGTCTTCGAACTTGCCTCTGGTCCACTAGTCTCGAACTCGACCTCGCCTGAACTCGGGCCTATGACGGACCCTGGATTCTGTAAATCGGAGGCCTCTGATTTTGACCGTATACAGATAGTCCCCGCGTTTCTTAGAATAAGATGATAAGAGACGATTAGAACTTCGATTTTCGGAGCCCATCACGATGACATCATCCCTATGATGCAGGCGCTCGAAGTGACTGAAACATTCCGTCGGTTCGCTTTCCCA